CCAGAGACCAGATGTAACCAAGTGAGTGTGGCTGCATTCCAGTAAACTTTGACTCGTGGACAGTAGAACTTGAATTTTATATAAGTCTCCATGTCTTCGAATATTATTTTCTTCTTCTGACTCTTCCCCAACCATTTAAAACCGTAGAAACTATTCTTAGCTCACGTGCCATACTGCAACAGGCTGGACCCGGCCGAGAGCCAAGTCCCTTGTCCCCGAGCATCCAGTGCCTGGGTGACACTTGAATCCAGCACCCCCTGCTTTGAGAGGGTTTTTTTTTCCCCCTCATTATCTGGCTGTGGGGAGGCCTTCCAGGGTTTCCTGGTTCATCTGAGCCGTGGCAGGGACCAGGTCCACAGGCCTCCGCTGGGGAAGCCCCTGTCCGTGCTCCAGAGTTTAAAAGAACGGCAGAGAGAGTGTCCCTCCTGGAGTCTCAGAGTACAGCTCACCTGATCAGCACGACCGGCAAAAGCTGGAACCACAAACCAGCAGTCTTGCGTGGAGCTTTAGAAATCCCTTGATCTGTGCCCTCATTTTTCAGGCGAAGGCAAGACTCAGAAAGGGGAATGGGCTGCCCAAGACCACTCAGGCTGAAGAGGCCGAGCTGAGACCAGAACTGAGGGCCTGTGACTGTAAGTGCAATGCCCTTTTGGCTCCCTCAGGGACTGCAAGGACCTGCCCAGAGATAGCTCTCTCCGCACAGGGCAATATCACCTAGACAATCATCAGCCCACCCAAGGACCCGCTTGCCTAGGGAAGAAGCCATGTCAGGTATGGCCTCAGCCCAGAACACGGCACCCAGCCCAGCCACATGGAGGGTACTGCCCGCTGGGCTCCGTGCCAGGAACAGGGAGAGGCTCTGGGACCCCTCGTCTGGCCTCATCCCAGAGGTGGTCTGGAGACCCAGCACTGCTGACGTTACGAGGGATACCCTCCGGCACAGGACCTACCTCCTACCTGCTTCCAGGCACCGAACCCTGCCACGGACACGGGGAAGGACCCAAACCGGTCACCCAGCAAGGGTCTCCTCTGCTGGATGGCTGGGGCCAGGGGAGAGAAGCAGCCCAGTTCCTGAAGGGACCCCCAGAGGCAAGAAAGGGTGGGTTTCTTTAGGGAGGCAAGATGTAAGGACAGAAACCATTCTGGAGTTCTGCTGGAACTTACCACGATAACAATAAAAATGCAGAAGGTGCCTGGAATGAGGGAGGGTGGAAATGGCTTAGGAATACTGCCCTTCTGGATTTGAGGCCTAAGCCCTGGTTTCTACAGGGGCCACGCAGAGGCCAGGCTACTGAGAACTGCTACGCGTGTCCCAGTGACTCCGCTGGCCACCGCTCCTCGATGACGACACGAGGTGAGGCAAAAAGCTGGGAGTGCTGTGGCCACGACCCCACGGACATCCTCGTAACCACACGAAGTAATACTGCGACTCTCCCCGTTTTCTAAATGAGGAAACTGAACCTTGGGTGGACAAGTCCCTTCACCCAGACCCACCGCTCACTGAACAGCAGGGGCAGGGTTTGAACGAACCTCAAAGTCTGTAAAGTGCCCCCACCCATGCAGGACATTAGACGGGCACTTGTAAAGAATGAGTGAAGGCATCAGCCGTTACGGAGTCCTCTTGTCTGTCCCCCGCCCCCCCCCCCGGCCCCCCCCTAATTCCAGGGAAGACCTGAACGTCGGTAGGTGCGGTGGCAGCACAGGGTGAACCATCCGCGGTTCCAAGAAAGAGGCTCTCACCACCGTCCCTTCAAAAGTTCTGGCCAGTGTCTCCGCCACCAGGGTGCCCTGTCTCAGCGGGGACACTCATGCCTGCAGGGAGCTTCAGGACCCTTTTTGGTTGTAAGCTAAACCTCTTCCTTGCCTGCCCACCCCTCCCCCTCTGCAGACGAAACTGGGAAGATTTCAGAAGCAGATGGGCTCTCCTTCAGACAGGAGTTCTGGCTGAGATGCGCCTACAGCTTTCCTTCTTCCTTCATCTGCTGCCGCACCACTGGCCAGCTCCTGCCGCGCCCGGCCCCCAGCTCTGGGGCGACCCCCAGGACCCCAGCCCCCTGCCCCAACGGCCAGAAGCCCAGCCTCAGCGCTGGGTTCTGTGGGTGTGCACGCCGCTGTGGGGACCAGGACGAGACAAGACTAACCGTGGCGTGTTCCCACCCCCTGGAAATGGCAGAGTGCCCACTCAGCAGCTCACGCCAGGAGGGCAAAGGCAAAGGGTCCAGGGTGGGGGAGAGAAGGGGTTAGGGCAGGACACAGGGCTAGAGAAGAGAAATGTGACTTGTTCCCAACGAGGTAAAGCTGATCAGGTGAGTTTGGACCCAGGCCAGCCACTCCCTCATGGACAACAGAGCCAAACAGAGACGGTAATTAATGAAGCAGTGAGCAAGGGTCTCCTTACCCCGGGAAATGGAGGCCCCGCCAGAGGCCTGTCAGAGCAGGAGGCTGTTGGTTTTCCAGCTTCCGGTGCCCCCCTCACTCATGCTGGGAACTAGAGGGCGGAGTCCCTACCACACAGACTCCTGGTCCCCTCCTGGCAGGTTTCCATCCAACCCTTCTTTCCCAACCTGCAAGAGCAGAAACGATGTGCAGGGCCCAGCCTGCTGGAATTAGGAAAGCCTGCCTCAGTCTCTACCCCAGAGCCAGGCATGGCGTGATAACTAGGAAATTTCCTTCCCAAATAACCTTCCACGGTACAGCTAGCAGTCATTTAACATCTGCTGCGTGCCAGGCACTAGGAGTTGTTTTATTTAACTCATGTGACAACCCTCCTTACGATGAGCCCCATTTCACAGATGAGGACACTGAGGCTGAGAGAAGCTCAGGAGTTTGCTGGGGACAGGGGAGTCACACAGCTTGTATGTTCTGGAGCCGGAGTCCAACAAGACCCTGGGTTTGCCCTCCCGTGTAGGTCTCAAACTCAGGGAGGAAAGGAATCGGGAGGGATAGACGGACATGCCGGACAAAAATCCCAGACAGGGTGACCCCCGAAAGAAGAGGCATGGCTGGGGTAGCAGCTGAGAAGACAAGCCAGGCTCCACCCTACAGCATGGGGCGTGTTTGCCTGGGCCCGGCCGGCCGACGACAGAGTCTGGGTCTACAGAGAAAACAAGTACAGCCGTAAAGGCAGCTCCACGTCCCCTGGGCCCTGGGGGGTGGCTTCCAGGGCAGGCGGCTGGATCCCAGGAGATCTCAGACCAAGAACCCACTTGCTCCTCAGATCTGGTGCCTTCTCTCCTGCGACCCATGGAGAAGCCTGGCTCTGCCTGGCACAGGACAAGCAGGGGGGCCTCATTTACTCGGAGCACCACACCCATCCTTCCTTCTCCTGAGGACTGATGTCAAACCAGAGAACCCCCAGAGTGGGCTGGGATCTCCCTTGATGGGGCAGGGACTGCGAGCAGGGAGCTCGGGGTCAGATGAAAGAAGGCTGGATCCCACTTATGCGGGACTCTGGGAAAGTTGGCCCCTCAGACTCTCTGTTTCCTTGCCTGTAAAACGGGGCTAGTAATGCCTACTTTATAAAGCCGGGTAAGACACTGCTTGGCACCCAGTAGATATTCTATAAACGGTAGCCATCAAGGCATTCAGAAATCGGATGTAACTACTGAAGTCTACTCTGGTTCCGGGAAGCCCCGTGAATATGGGAAGAACAAAGGCTCCAGGCTCCTGGAAGGGCATGGGCAGACGGCAGGGAGAGTCCCAGAACCCTAATGGGCAGTGAGGTTGCAGGGGTGGGGGGAGGTCTGCCTCACAGGTTCATCAGTCCAAACAGGAGGTGGCTGGGACAGAGTAATCCGAGACAGTAGCTTTGCTGTGGCAAGGTGATCCTCTCTCCAGACCGCCTTCAAGATGCAGACCCAAACCCAGAAGACACTGTTGCCTGGGCCCATCCTTTCACCAATTTTCCCAGCCCCCTCCCAAGGCCACACTAAAGGTAGGGGCTCTCCCAGGGCCAGCGGTGCCCGTCAGCCCGGCCTCCCGGCATCTTGGAGGCCTCTGCTCCCTCAGGCCAGCGTCCTGGAATGTGCCATGTGCCCATGCCCAGTGGAAAACGCTACCGAACATGCTGTATCTCACAGGGTACTGACCAGGAGGGGCAAGCTGGTGTTGGTAGTGAGTCACAGCGCCCAGGCCGCAGCTGGGGAACTGCTGAGGGTTAGGCTGGGGGGAGGGAGGAGATTGGGGGGAGCTGATCTCCCCCCACTCCTCACACCACCCTAACTTTGCAGCCCCCCACCTTCCCCCCCCCCTCTTCCCCACCGCCTCCCTGTCAGGAAAGGGTTTGGAGAGCCTTAAAGAGGCCACTGGTGCCTAGGGGCGTGCTGACCCCACAGCACAGAAAATCAGTCACTGTCTCAACAGCCGGAGGCCCACAGGGCCTGCAGACAGCTCCAGGGAACCCCCGCCACCAACAGGGAGAGGGGAGAGGCTTCCAGCCCATTCCCGATTTCAGATCCCCGATCCTCCCCCTCTAACCTCCCCCCCCCCATACAGCAGAATCCTCCAGCCACAGAGCGCAACAGGCCGCCCGCCCTTCCCCACCGCTGTATTATTAACCCTTCGCCCACGACTGCTGCGGGGTGGGGGCCGCTGCCCCCGTGGTCTCCCTGGTGGGCAGAGAAGAGGCAGCAATCCCCAGAGGCCCCAATCCATCCCCCTCTCCCCAGCGCTGGAACCTGCAGGGCTTCGCGTGTCCTTCCACCTTCACCCCAGGGCTCTGGTCTCCCACCCTCCAGCCTGCCACTCTGGAAAGTTCACCGGAGCCCAGAAAGCCCTTCAAGGCGCGATCTGGCCCCACATTCGCGGGTTCTCCCGTCACCCGAAGACTCCTGACCCTTGCCCTTTCCAGAAGGAAGGGCGACTAGAAAGCGCCTGGTCGGAGCCTGGGTGGAAAACTTTGCTTCCTAGGGTTCTGACCGGAGCCCGGGGGCCAAAGTGAGTCCCGGCGGAGATTCCCTGGGTGGGGGGTGGGGGAAAGCTGCGGCTGCAAAATAGCGCACCTGGAACTTGGGAGGGGGCCGCACGGGGCATCACCCACCCCCGGCACACTGGCCCCTACGCCTCTTGATCTCCGATCTCCCCGCGGCGCTCCGGCATTTCCCTCCAACCTCTCGCCCCAGGGCAAAAGCAGACCGGCGCCTTTAAGAGCCGCTCCGCTTACCTTTGCTCGGTTTACCCGGCGCCGCGGTGCCCCCTCCTCCGACCGCCCCCTTCCTCCCCCGGCGCGCCGCCCGCCCAGCTCTCCGGACACGGCGCGTCGCCCGCGGGACTCACCGCGCGTGTCCTGGGGGCCGCGGCGCGCCGGGTCCCGCCCGCGACGGCCGGGGTGCCGCGGGGCTGGGCGCCGTGCCCTGTGCCCTGCTGGGGTCCCTGCCCGGGCGCGGGGCTGCTTCCCCTGCTCCGGAAAGGTGAGCGGCTCCCCAGAGGAGCCGCAACCTGAGCTGGAGGAGGAGGAGGAGGAGGAGGAGGGAGAAGGGGAGGGGAAGGGAGGGTTGGAGGAAGGTGGGGAAAAGGAGGGAGGGGGAGGAGGAGGAGGAGGAAGGGAAAAACCCGGCCCCCGCCAGAGTTTTTCACGTGTACAAGTTGACTCCTCCCCCGTGCCTCCAGCCCTGCCCACAGCCGCTGCCAATCCCCAGGGCTCCCTCTGCCCGAGTGCCCACCCCTTTCTCCCACTCTGGGAACCAGGGTCCAAGTGCTTCTTCCGGTTTCGTTCCTTAGGCCTGGCCCCTGCTAGCCCTCTGGGGCTGGCCGGGTTAACCCCGACTAGGCGATGAGACCCTCTGGACTGGAGCACCCCAGGACTGGGGCCAGACCACCACCGGTGATTTGCTGACAGTGCTTTTCTGGAAAGGTAGCTTTCCCACCGAGGCTGATCCTGGATCCCAGCCCCTGGCACCCAGGAGCTAATGTGCAAAGACTGATCCTGTTGGCTACGTTTGCCTTTTGCGTTCTTGGCAACAGTAGCCCTAGGGCTCTCCCTCCGGTGGGACTTGTCACTAACGTTTTGGGACAAAACTCCCACCTGGTTTCCCCACCTCTCCAGGGCCTGAATGAAGCTTCCCTACTAGTCATCACCGCCACTTCCTACCCGGGAGGGTAATTCAGTTTGTCCTTTTGGAATGAAACTCTGCAGGCCGACTGAGATTCATCCAGGAACCCTTACAGAATAGCCAGTGCCGGTCCCGCTTTCATTTTACAGAAGGGGAAACTGAGGCCCAGAAAGGTGATTGGACTGGCCTACAGTTCCACAGAGTCAGAGACAAACCATGATTGGGACTCAAGCCAATGACCACACCATCTAACTTCAGGGATCGAAGGAAAACTGGGATGGAGTGAAGGGCACACCTGTCCCATCTGGGCCCCGCCCAGCCCTGCTTCCTTGTGGGGGCTATCAGAGAGCAGGTGGTACCTCAGACCGTAGGGGCACCGAATCAGAGAGATCTGTGTCCTCAGCCTTGCCAGTGGGCGTGGCCTTTACAGTCTGGGGGTCTTCACAGGGGGTGGGGGGCTCTTGAGGAGGGTGGTCCACAGTGTGGATGTGTTTCCTTTCTGGAGGACATGGGCCTACCTACCGTCTGCCCCCCAACACCAGCCCGCATCCAGCCGGCAACACGGATCTCTCCAGACTCCATGGGGGCTGGAGATGGCAGAAAGAAGGAAGACCCTGGGCCCTTGCAGTAGAGTGACTTGTGGGTCGTCAGCGGGGGCACACCACAAAGGGCGTCCCAACTCTGCCACCTGTTTTCTCTGCCAGGGCACGAGATTTCCTGGGCACGCGCACTTTAGGAAGAGAAAACTGCCTGGTGCCGAAGGGGTGCAAAAAGTGGATGGCTCCATAGCCTCCAGGCTATGGGAACAGCCAGCTGCCTGGCTCCATAATCCATGTGTATGATAACACAGGGGGCAGAGAGGCCATGCAGAGGCAGGGAAGGGACAGGGAGGGCAGGGGAGAGGGCTATGGCTAAAGAACTGTGCATACTGGAGGGTTCAAGAGAACGGGGCCAAGCTAGAGTTTTGAGGAACCAGGGGAATGGATGGGGTCGAGAGGTTTCAACAAAAGTTTTCTGAACATTTCTTATATGCCAAATAATAGCCAGAATTCTGGGCACCAAAGATGGATGGAACACAGGCCCTGCCCTCCGGGAGCTCGCGATCTAGATCTGGGTTGTCTATCTAACCCAGGTTAGAGCTGCGGCTGCCTGGAGAGTTTGTTTTGCTGCTTGAGCTGATGGTCCAGGGATAAGAGGACAGTGGAAGGCAGGAAGGGGGTTCCGTTTTCTCAGGAAGGGTAACACCTGTGCAGACTTCAGGGGTGAGAGGCCAGAGCTTAGAGTTGCCGGGGCTAGAGGTGATGTGCTAGAAGGAGGCAGGTGCTGGGTTCTGAAGACCCTCCTAACATTCGCCCTGTCCCGAAACTACGGGGCAAAGTGGAGCATGTCAGAGGAAAGAGAAATCACCAGGTCTGTGATATAGGATGACCCCTTGGACAGCCAAGTGGAGGCTTGACAGTGGGATAAAATCTGGAGGTAGAACCCCCAATTTGCCCAATTTGCAGGCTGATCCTGACGATGAATGTCACAGGCTTAGACTGGGGCAGTGGCAGCAGGGACAGAGGAGGGGGCTGACTTGAGAGACGGTTTGGGAGCCAGGATCATGGAATTTTGTGCCTATTTGAGTCTGGGAGATAAGGGAGCAAAGAATGTCAAGGTTGGAGCCCCTGGTGTGATAGACCAAGCTAGAAGCTTCTTCGGGTTGCCTTGATTCATACAACCTCCTTTTATTGGTTGTGTGACCTTGGGCAAATGACAACCTTCCGGAGCCTCGTTTTGCAATCTGTAAAACAAAGATACTGAAATCGATCTTGCGTGGTCATTGTATATATTAAAGATAATGTATGCCAAGGCGTAGGGCTTAACTCGTAACAGGAATTCAATAAATAGTAGATGTAATTATGATTGTTTCTCCTTTCCACAAACATTTGTTGAGCACCTGATATGTGCCACGGATTGTCCTAGATCTTTGGGACGTAAGTCTCATTCCCTAGTCACGTGTAGCTCACCATCTAGTGGGAGAGAGCTATGCAGAGGATAGCCATATAGCCAAGCAATACGGGCTGGTATGGGCTGGGGCAGAGGAGGAAACTGTGCCCAAAGAATCAAGGACAACTTCACCGAGGAGAGATGACAGCTTAAACCACGTAGGGCCAGCTATCGGCTCAGAGGCTACCATATCGCCCCCGTCTCCCAGACAATGGATTGTGTTTCAGAATCTGAAATGTTCCGTTTTGAAGGCATTTGACATGCTCCTCGGGGTTGGGAGAAGGGGGTGGACTACAGATGAGTGTCTATATGAACCCAGGGAGTGGTACATAGAACCTTGGCAACCCCAGGTCAGGGCATGAGCAGATGGGCAGACAGAAGAGGGGGACCAGGTAAGCGTGAACGTGGGCACGTGGCTGGAGCTTGCTAGCTGGGTAGGAGCCTATATGTGTGTGCACTTGGGCCGTCCTGATTTTTCTGCTCCTTGTCTGTACCCTTCTAAAAATTCCTTGCAAAACCATTTGGTGTCCTCAGCCTGCCTCCCATGCCAATTTTCTTTCCATCCATCTCTTAACGAGCCCAGCTTGGTAGAAGCCGCGCTCCCTGGTCCTCCACTAAGGAAGGACTCCTGCCTTGCTGTCCCACCAAGCAAGACTCTGGGCTTTCCAGCTAGATGGACTGTTGTTACATCTCCGATTTTCCCATCTGTGACATGGAGATAGTAACAGTCCCCGTCTTGTGGAGCCGTTGTGAGGTTTCAATGTGACGTGAAACTTGGTGGACAGGGGATGCTTATTTCCCTTCTCTGCCCAGTAACTGCCTCCTTGCAGAGGGTCAGACGAGACTGTCAGCTGGGGATGTCCCCTGGCACACCGGCCTCTGGGGCCCCACGCTATAGGCCTTCTCCTCTGCTGGCCTAAATGGCATCCCTGGGTGGCCCTGGTCACCCTAGGGTATAGTGCTGGCAGGATGACAGTAGGGGCCCAGCAGCGGCCCAGCCCACTCTCCCACTCCAATCCTGTCTCTCCTCCCTGCTGCCGATCACATGCCACTGCTCTGCAGATAGGACAGGCGTCCCTGGGCGCCCGAGGGCTGGCGGGGAAGCTGGAAACAGCTCTCCCTCACAGACTGTGTGGGCAGTGCATTCGAATAGCTTCTGAAAAACCAAAGTTCAAGCCCGCCCTACTTTCCCCTGGGAGGCTCAGCATCCAGACAGGGAGACCGGCCAACGGAGAATCTCCTTTCTGCACGTTGCTGCAAACTCTCCTCCCTTCTGGTGCTACCCACACATGCGACACAGTCTCCAAAAGCACTGCAGGGACACTTGGGAGGCCCGGAGACCCGACTCTGCCCCTAAGGTGCCAAGAGCCGTTTCGTTTATCTGGGCCTCAGTTTGCCTCCTCTGAATAATGGGGAATGATGTGAGTGCTGCCGCTCCGGAGGGTTAAATGAGAGTGTGAATGCGAAAGTTTACTTTGTGAAAACACCTGCCTGTGTATGAGATCATTAGTGTTTGGCCAAAGAGACCTTCTTAGGGTTCTCAGGAGACAAGTGAAGACAAGAGAAATGGGAAACTCAGAACAGAGAGAAGTCTTCCCCAAGGACGTCTGTGACCTCAGCAGGAGGAGGGAGAATGGCAACACGGAGCCTGGCCCATGGACCACCCTGCTGTGGGCTAGCTCCTTACGAGTGTGTGAGTCCGTAGGGGCGGCAGGACGTGGCCTTGGTCAGCCGATGCTTACTCCTCCCCTGAAGAAACTCAGACCATTGTTTTCCAGTGACTTATGGAGAGTGAGGGTGACTAGGGTCAGTGTCATTTACCTGGTTCCAGTGTGATGCCACTACAGAGCCCGGGAGCTGCCACTTTGTCACTGCACCAGGCATCACGTCCTCTCCTCACTGCTTGTGCTAAATGCACGGGCGCACATGTACTCGTGCGTGTGTGTGAACACACACACACGCACACACACCCCATGCACAACCACTCCAGACTTCCGATGGAACAACAGCTGCGCCCCCAGAAGGTTCTAGAACAGGGTAGGCATGTAAACAGAGTAAGCCAATCACAGCCCTGTTGACCCTAGCAACCATCAACCCGACTAGAACCCCCACCCCCACCCCGAGTCCGGCAGTGCCTCCCAAACACACCATATACACACACAACCTTCAGGTTGCTGCATTGCCATGGCAACGAAACCATCACACAAAGCAGGGAAAATGGGAAAGTGGCCCTTAGCAACAAGACCGGACCAGTCATTGGGGTGAGCACGCCAGCAGCACTGGCTAGCGTGAGGTCACGGTGCGGAGAGGGTCCCCATGCAGGGAGGGGAGGAAAAGAGGGCTGGTGTGTCTGGACTTCGAAGCCCAGTTTTTAGCCCTGGGCCTCCGCTCGCTCACCTTTGACCTGTAGGGCCGCAGACGCCTTCTTGTATTTTAGTGTATCCCCAGCGTGTGCCTGTATTATCGCGTTGCAATTACTTTTTAACCAATAAATAAGGATAGGAACTATAGGTGATCTTTTCAGAAAACCTCCAGAATGTTGAGACTCCTGGGGAAAAGAAGACTTCCGATTGATCCTCAGAGAGACCCTAAAATCCAGCTCGTGAGTTCCTCGTAGAGTTGGGCCTCGATTCAGTTTGTAAACATTTCCTTGGTATCTACCCTGTGCCAGGCCGGGTCAGCCAGGCCCTGACGTCAGCCGTGGCTGGGTGGGCTGGGCGGGGCCTGCAGAACGTATCGGGTGGTGAGAGCGTCCTGGAGGTCTGTCGGGAAGTCTGGAGCAGGTGCTTATACGAACAGCAGGCTGCCTGCAGGAGATTTTGCTCCGGGCCAAGGGAGAGGGCTGAAGCTGGGACCCTGCGGGCGCCCTTGGCGAACTGGCTTCTGACGTCCATGCCTCATCATCCTCCCTTCAGCCAGCTACCAGAGAGACCTTAATTCAAAATGAAAATTTGACAATGGGCTCCTCTGCCCAGCTTCTTCTTCCCGTGGCTCCCCAACAGCCTTGGGTCCCCTCCTTCAGAATCTGACGACAGCTGAGAGACTCCCTTCCTAGCATCCAAAACATACATGCCCAGCATTTTCCATTCATTTTGGGGAGCTACGGGCCTCTTCAAGCTCCTTCATGGACTTGATTGGGGGGGAATAGCATGTGAAGGCCCCTGCGGCCAGCCTCTGCCTCCCTCATCAGCTCACTTGGCTTGCCCCGCCCCCACCCCCGGTATATAACAGGCCACACCAAACAATGTGCACTCCCCTTGCGGGCACCGCCATACTGGCCTGCTTCATGCCTTTGTGCCTGTGTTCCCACCAACTGGAGAGGCCTCGTCCTTCACCTGTTACCTGGTAAACTCCTATTCATGCTTCAAAACCCTGTTCAGGAGTCAACACCTCATAGTTTTTGATGCTGACCAGACAGGCTTGATCACTCCGTGGTCTGAAGTACTCTCATTACCTGTCTCCCACTACATGGGGGATCTGTGTCTGTCTTCTTTATCGAGCTTTGAGTTTCCTGAGGCCACACACCACTTCTTAGCCTTTATGTCCCTAGTTCCTAGCATGTAATAGGTCTGGGGAACCAAAATAGCAGGACCAAGTTGGCAGAGGAAACAGAGCTGACAAAGGAGGAAAATAAGCAGACGGGAAGTTAGGACAGGAGCCAGGAGAAGAGAGGCTATCAAGGAGGAAAGAGGCATCAGAAGCTCGAGGTCAAAATGGTTAAGGACTGAAAGGCATCACTGAGTTTGGCAACCAGGAAGCCGTTGGTAGGGTAACCAGCAGCCCCAGTTTGCCGGGGACTCCCCCGGTTCTGGAATTGGAAGTCTTGAGTGAACGGTCATGGTTGGCCACCCTGCAGGTTGGTCATGGTTGGTGACCCTAACGAGGGCAGTGCTGGAAGTGAGATTGGGGCAGAAACCTGCCTGAGGCTGGCTGGAGGACCAATGGCAGATGCGGAAGGACGACTGGGGACAACTGGTGACCGACCGCAGAGCCAGTGTGCTGGATCCAGGAGGGAGGGCAGCGGGAGCCTGAGGATGGCCCCAGCCTCCCAGCCTCTCTCTCCTGGTCCCACTGCCCTGCGGAGAAAGCAAACGAGGCTCGTGTCAAGAACATCGCGTGCCCCTTGACGACTTCCTCCTGAAGGGCTCCAGGGTCACTACCTCTATCGCCTGACTGACCCTCCCCACCACCTCAATGCCCACAGCACCAGTGGCCCTCTGTCCCTTGTATCTGTAGTATTTTGTCCTGTAGGCACAACAGATCCAGCTACTCCTGGTCGACTTTTCTTCTAAACTTTTATTTAAAATCTTCCTTTGAGGGGGCGCCTGGGTGGCTCGGTCGGTTAAGCAACCGACTTCGGCTCAGGTCATGATCTCACAGTTTGTGAGTTCAAGCCTCGTGTGGGGCTCGGTGCTGACAGCTCAGAGCCTGAAGCCTGCTTCAGATTCTGTCCTTCTCTATCCCTCTCCCTCTCTCTCTACCCCACCTCCCTGCTCGTGCTCTGTCTCTCTGTTGCTCTCAAAAATAATTAAAAAAAATTTTTTTTAAATACTATAAAATCTTCTTTGGGGGCATCTGGGTGGCTCAGTCGCTTAAGGATCCAACTCATGATTTCCCCTCAGGTCATGATCTCATAGTTGTGAGTTGGAGCCTGTGGCAGGCTCTGTACTGAGCATGGATCCTGCCTGGGATTCTCTCTCTCTCTCTCTCTCTCTCTCTCTCTCTCTGCCCCTGCCCCCACGCCACTCTCTCTCTCTCTCTCAAAATAAACTTTTTAAAAAATAAAGATTCTTGCAAAAAATAAACTAAAGATAAAAAATGATAAGAATCTTCTTTTAGTTTGTATTTCTTTAGTCCAACTAATTAAACTCTGACCTTCTTAAAGGCAGGGGTCAGGCGCTCCCTCCCTGCCTCCTCCTTTCCGGAAACACTAATGAAGCACTGTTTATCCAGTGGTCAAGGTGACAGGCACAGTTCCTACCCTCAGGTATCTCGGTCTGGGTTCAGGCCTCCGAAATGCAGAGAAGCTCATACCCCTGAGCAGCAGGAGACAGTCCACGCGGGGCTTCAGCGAGTCTGAAAGCCCATAACATCATCTGGAGTAGAGACGTTCGAATGGACCCCGGTGCCGTGGAATAGTGTGTCCGGATCGGAACAACGCATTCATTAGGAGACACCCGAACTCTGTTTCTCCCAGTTAGATTAAAGAGGAAAGAGGGAGGAAAAACAAGAAGGAGGTTGCTCTTATCGAACGAAGAAGCAATAGCCCCCCACAGCCGTGATCACAAGGCCCGCCTCCGTCGGCCGCCGGGACACCGTCTCATTAGCCAGGGTGCCCAGACACCGCACGCCCTGCTGGAGCCAACTCCTTGCCAAGTGTCTGCTCCATAATTAAACACAAAAACCCCTTCTCTTCAAGGCACTGGCTGCCCCTCCTGTGGGGGATAGGGAGGCAGTGGGGAGGGGCTGAGCGTGGGTGAGGCCTCCCTCTGGCCCTGCTGGGGGAAGGGAAACCAGAGGGGTGTGCGTCGTGAATGGGGATCCCTGGGACCCTCCCCTGGGGAGGAGATGTGGGAAGCTCTCAGGGAAAGGAAGTGAAAGGGCATGGAGCCAGAGGAGGGACCCTGCCTTCTCCCTATCTGACACCAGGACGGATGGAGGGCAAATGGGCCACACGGGCCTTCTGCAGGGTTTCCGAGCTGGACTCTAGAAAGTGAGGTCCTAGAAAGAGGGGTGTTATAAAGTCTTTGCTCCGGGTTTGTCTGAGAACATCTCAGCGTCCACGCACCATGCACACACACACACACACACACACACACACACACACGCACACACACGCACACACATACACACACATACATCCCACATTTACACATCCCACATATACACACACCCCCCTACATACACACATTCCCACCACACACACACACACACACACACACACACACACTCCACTGGTTTGTAACCAGAAGAGGGCTGACACGGATGGATTCTGGGGGGAGAGGCCTGGACAAGATGGACCCCAGAGACCCTAGTAGCCAAAGTTGGAGTAAGGGGTGGGCTGGCAGACAGGGGCACAGGCCATTCCTAAAAATGTAACAAGATGCACGTAGGAGAAATCATTTGGTAGGCCTCTTAGGGTCAAGGTGAGCTCGCCTCATGCTCAAGACTGCTCTAGTGACAAGATGGCGGGTGGGAGGACTGAGCACTTTTGCTTTGCTATGTGGGGGGCACGAACTGACTGGGAAAGCCAGAGGGGCCAAGCCTGGCCCAGCGGTCCTTCTCTGCCCAATCCCACCCAAACCTTGGCTTCTCTGCTAAAATCACTTTGAACAAATATTGCGAAGATACCCTGATGAAGAGGTGCCACGTAATTGGCCTGCCCTGGGCACCCACATGTCTCCAGCCAAACACGATCTCCGGCTGAAGGGTAGAGAAGATGCCAGGGGGCTTCTGCCCCTACCCAAGTGTGGCTGCTCGGGGGCGCAGCATGAGGGTGGAGTAGAGGCAGAAAGGAGATTGGAGAGAGGACAGGTGCCTCGGGCGTGGGGATGGGGCGTCCACACCCTTCCAGAGTTATCCGGTCCCTCAGCCTCAGTGGCTTGGGCCTGAATGACCCGATGCTCCAAGCTCCAAGCCCCGGCTCCAGCAGCTGGATCCTGATGGAGGACAGGGCCACGGAGCACATCATTCTGCACGGGCAAGAAGGTGAGTTCACAGGGGGCAGAGACGGGGAGACCCAGAGGCCAGCGCCTCTGAAACCGAGGCATAGATAGAAAATGTGGATGCTATACGTGTGCAAGGCATTAAATGTCAAAGTGAGCAGCTGGACTGGTGGCCAGCACCCAGCTGCAGCACAGAGAACTAACTGCCCATCATCAGACAAGTGCACCCGTCTGGCCCCTGCCCCTCGCCCCTGGGGGTTACCCCGGCTCGGACTGACCCGACCACCACAGAACTGCCACCACCAATCTGGGAAGGAGGGAGAGGCGAGGACAGCCTTGCAGTGCTGACTCACAGTGCTGGCCTCTGAGGCTAGGCCGCCCTGAGAAATGCCTGGGCAGGCTGTGCCTACGGCCTGCTGGGACCAGCGGGGAGCCCTTTGTCACCACACCAGGTGAACCCAGCCCTGGAGTGGCAGCTAATTTCCTGGGGGCTCCTCCCAGACCAACTTCCCCTTTTCCTGCAGCCTGGGAGGGGCTGGGGCCCCAGAGCAGCCAGGTGTGGCCTAAGGGATGGGAGTGGGGCCTGGCAGATGGGAGGGGTCAGGAGGGATCTGGAACCAGAAGGAATCGGGACAGGCCCAGTGTTGGGGGTACAACCAGAAGAGGGAGAAAGGAGTAGGGAGCTTGACTCACAATCCTTTTTCTCTGAGGTAAGCCCGTGACCAGAAGGGTGTGGATGACTGGGGCCTCCCAGGAGCACACCCTGTCTGAGTGATGGAGCAGATACCAGGCCTGCTCAGGTCAGACACACCCGAACGATCAGCTAGGTCCAGGGACCCTATACCTGAATGAACAGGTATGTCCAATCAAAATAGATCTGAATATGTCGGGTACTATCAGGTGAAAATGTACCTGAGTGGCCAGGCAGTGGTGGCCACAGTGTGGCTGAGTGAACAGGCGTAACCGGGTACAATGCCTGGATCCACCAGGCTGCCCCCACTCACACTAGAGTGCCAAATGACCTGGCAAGAAAGACCCAATCCAGGGGACCGGCTGCTGCCGGTGAACAGCGCAGTCTCGCAGGTTGGTATCTAACAGTGCTCAGCACAGCCCGGAGAAGGAAAGGATCGGTGAACAGTCTGGAACCCACAGGCCTACTGTTTGCCCCGGGGCACTTGCCCACGGTCCCTCTGCGGTGTTGATAGGGCTCGGCATTTCTTCTCCAGGATCCCAGCCATTTGTGAACCCACAGCTTCGCTCTTTGTTAAACAGCTGGTGACTGAGGCTGATCCAATATTTACTCCTGGAGAGAGGGCAAAGGGGCAGGTGTCACCCCAGGCAGCCCGAGGCGGCAGTTGGCTGGGTTCTGGGGGAGGGGCGATGAGAAGAAGGGAGAAGTTGCTGCGTTTTCTCAGGTACTGGAGGGTTTCTCAGGCCTTAGGTATCCCCGGACCCAACCATCTACTTCCTCTTCCTGCCATGGGCTGGGAGGGACTAGAAGGAAACTTTGGGACCAGTAGTGGATGAGGGGGCTCAGGGTTCTCTTCCTGAGATCAAGAAGGCACTGCCTTCTAGGGGCGCCTGGGTGGCTCAGTCGGTTAAGTGGCCGACTTCGGCTCAGGTCATGATCTCGCGGTCCGTGAGTTCGAGCCCCGCGTCAGGCTCTGTGCTGACAGCTCAGAGCCTGGAGCCTGTTTCAGATTCTGTGTCTCCCTCTCTCTCTCTGACCCTTCCCTTTCATGCTCTGTCTCTATCTGTCTCAAAAATAAATAAACGTTAAAAAAAAAAAAAAAAGGCACTGCCTTCTTGATCAGGTCCTGCCGCGGTACCCAGTTGGAGGCACCCATGGCAGGAGGCCTTCCTGCAGGAAGGGGACACTTTTCCCTGGAAGGGGATGGGGACAAGGAAAGGAGGGGCGTTGGGCTGAGACCCCGCTGAGGAAGGAAAGCACGCGGGTGCCAG